CTGATAATAGTCACTGGGGATGGTTCTGAAGAATGAAGGGAATCGTCTTCTGTTGCTTAGACATTCGCAGGTGGAAAGGTAGCTGATCTAAATAACAAATAAACAATTATTGGAAAGACTCAGGAATAATAAATAGGGTGGATGTTAATAATAATATTCCCTTCCCACACTCAATGCTAATCTTTGAAAAGGTAGTGTCCTTAATCTCAGTAGTGCTGTTTTTGATGGAATTATGTGATGTTTTTGCTATTTTTTTGCAGATTTCACAAGGAGAGATGATGGTGGAACATTTAAAAAACAATCTTGCAAATAGGGGCATGAGACAGCATGAGAGGGCATGCTAACCAATCAAATTTACCAGTGAAAACTTGCTTTATGTAGTTAAAAACATAGTTGGGGGATCTAAATTGGAACAGACCTATGAATTACCAGTAAAAATGCAGCAGGAGCATCTTCCTTGGTTTTTTAAGTCAGTTTTGTATGTCAGTAGATAACAAAAGGTTGTCTGACAACAAAACAACAAAGCGACAACAAAAGATATGAGTATTGTTGAGTAAAAAGCAGTGATCTCAACTGGGAAAATGTAGTATTTGCAACGTATTTCACAATATTAAAAATACAATGCCTTGTTGAAACTATTTCTGTATGTATTTTCAGTATTGTATGAGTAAGCTCAAAATCAAGTTCAAGTTTATTGTCATTATACTCATATACAGGTATATGGCATAACAAAATGCTATTTAGCTAGCTCTCAGACGGTAAGAAGTACAGAAAAAAACAACACAATTTTATAAGAAAAGAAAGGCAGAGACAACAGGCAATGTGCAAAACAACAACAGATAACAGGTAATGTGCAAAACAACATCAGATGTGCAAAATCATACATAAACAGAATGAAATAAAGGATAGAAAATTATGGGGAGTGAGCTTCTTGACATACAGTACAGTAGGTGAGAGAGGCTGGGAGTTTATAGTTTGATAGTAAAATCAGATTTTAATTGTAAAATTACAAGAGTAAAAGCAGTCATAAGAAATGTGAAATGTAGGGAATTTAAATATATTTTACCATTGGAACATGAAAAGGTCCAACAGTTGTCGCAGTTCCAATAGTTACAGATGATACTGAATGTCCTATAATTGCTTGAGCGTTAGGTGGTCTGGTGCAGGAGGTTTCAGAAATGACTCCTTCTTCATGGCCATTCACCAAATTCAAAGCACCTCTTATTGAGGAAGGTATGTTGGAACACACACTGTAGATCCTATAGCCCAGTGTGACATTTGGGAGAATTTCTGTACTGTTGTTAATTTCCTGTATTGTGAAAATCATGGTCTGTGCAAATTGAAATCCTCTGAAATGTATTCTGGAAAATAGGCATAAAAATATTAAAGAAAGATTACAATACAATAATCTTGAAATTAATTCTACCAAAGAAGAAAAAATATCAATTTCATAAAGGAAAAATGTATCAAACAAATCTCAGTCAAGCATTATCTGTGTTTCTTAAAACAAGAAGGCACAGAACTTTGTAATGTACAGTGTTTCTTTTTAGCAATAAAATATAAGTTTCATATTTTAACCTACCCTTTGCATTGTATAGGTTCTGGAGGATTTTTGAAGTTAAGGGTTGTGCTGATCATTGATGTTGTTAGTGAAAATAATCCTCCAATTATAATGTCTCCATCCATTGAAAATGTAGGATTTTCTGGGCTTCCTTGTAACCTGCAGGTGGGTTTTTCGGC